TGGCCAGCCGCCAAAAAAAAAAAAAAAGAATCTTAGTGCTTTATAAGTGTTATTACATTTGTCTTCTTCTTCTTTTTTTTTTTTTAAAAAAAAAGATGACTGGTAAGGGGATCTTAACCCTTGACTTGGTGTTGTCAGCACCACGCTCAGCCAGCGAGCTAACCGGCCATCCCTATATGGGATCCGAACCTGGGGCCTTGGTGTTATCAGCACCACACTCTCCCGAGTGAGCCGTGGGCCGGCCCTACATTTGTCTTCTTAACACTCCAAGATGAAACTGAGGCATAAGGAGGGCAAGTATCTTGCCTAAGAACACTGTGACAAACTAAGAAATACATATTTGGTCTCTGACAAAAGCTCCTAAATCCCTTGGGATTTCCTGGGTGAAAGGAGTGTCTTTTTTTCTAATGGGGTGGCTCTTGGTGGGCTCCTGGATAGCTTAATGATGGCGACTGTTCACTAGAAAGACCAACTCATGATTAGAAGCTTGGAACTTGCAGCCCTAAGCCCCATCCTCTGTTAGAGGAGAGGAGCTGCAGATTGAATTAATAATCAATCATGCTTACTTCCCTTGTCCTTACGGTTGAAGCCACTATTTGTTTAGTTTTCTTTTACTTGTAGATAACAGCAACTTAAATAATATACCCAATAATGACTCAGATTGAATACTCTGCCAACCCAGAAGAAGGGAGCTTGGAGCAAATTACATTTGGTTTAGAAAAATTAATGAAATGTGACATGTCTTATTTCCTTTTAAAGAGTAAAATCCTACCCAGTGTGTAATACAATCTCTCGTATAATATTTACTTTAGAATTAAAGAAGACAATGTTCTTAGGAAAGTTGCTTTAAGTGGTAGTCATTATCATTAGTGCTCTCCCCATTAGGTTCAATGTTCGGAAGTTGTGGGAAATAGGGAGGAGGCAGCAGAGAGGAGATTGGTGAAATAAACAAAAACAGCCTTAAAATTTGGGGGTTCTTCAAGTCTCAAGAGCTCCATTTACTTTATAAGTATTTATCTGTCTATTTTCAGATAGAACTCAGTCTGTGAATTTTTGGTTATTATGCATCTAGTAACATCGCACGTTGGTATTGTCATTCTCCCTATATTCCATTTGACTAAATGGTAATTTTGAATACAGAAAGGATTGTTCATTCTTGTTCCTTAGATAAGAAGAATAACATTTACTCTCATGTTTTTTCTATCTGTACAAATTTATTTTGGCTTTTCACCACAAATATGCTCAGCAACCGGAATTCTTAAATCTGCTGTTCTGATGGAATGTACTGGCTCAGAACCGCACATGGAAACAGCATCCAGTTTGTGGTTGCTGTTATTTTTTCTACCCTCCTCGCCCATTAGTTTGCTGTATTTTAGAAGCTGAGAGCAGTGACTACCCAGCCTAACCCTTCATACTTGGCCACATTCACTATTCTTTGGTTGCCTAATTCAGTGGGAACAGCAGAGGAAAAGGTAAAGAGGAATTGAAATCAATAATAAATCATCATCTATACAGGGTTGGAATGCTCTTAACACTCATTCGTTTGAGGGGTAAGGGTTCTAAATATGGAATCCATGGATTGGTTTCAGGGGTTTGGAACTGCATAATTTTCTTTTTCTTTTACTAATGTACGAGCAAGTCTATGTGCATTTTCCTGAGGAAAGGCTCCATAGTTGTCATCTGACTCGCAGAACGGTTCTAGATCCTCCAAAACGTTACGAACTACGATACCAGTTCTTGACAGGTCTGTAAAAGGATGCAGTTCTTCTAATGTAGTTTTTACGTGTACCTGACGAGGCGGGAGCCTCTGCCCTAAACAAAAATGGCGGGAGGTGCTTCACACGTAGTTCCTCACGCAGAAAGGTTTAAAAGGCCCCCCCCCCCCCCCCCC